ATTATTATAATTAATAATTATAGTGTGACCGTGTAAGCCGATATTATAATATTGAACCCTGCACACGCTTCACTCACTTTAACAATATGAATCGATTTTTATAATTAACAGTCAATGAACACTGTCATCCAAACCGAGAGAGTACATCGAGCAGTGAGAAGGCTAGACGAAAACTCATATTTGCCAGCATACTATGTCTTCTGTTCATGGTCGGAGAGGGAATCGGTAAGTTTTGACGGGAATCATTCATACTTAAGAGGACGCTACACCCGAATTTGATGCCTTCGTCTTGCAAGTGCGTAGATAACATGCAAATTTTATGCACAGCAGATCACGTTTAGCTCCTTGAGTTTAAAATTTAGAATTGATCTCTTATAAAAATTAAAGGTAATTAATTACTATCGAAGGCTGCTCGTATGCTTTTTACTATATTTTTATTTTAAAGCGAGTAATGAGTGTTTTAAAATTGTAAATTGTTTGTATACCWTAAAATACTCATAACTCGCTTTAAAATTAAAATATAATGAAAAGGCTATGAGAAGCCTTATAGATAATAATGTTACCTTTGATTTTTATAAGAGGTCATGATTCACTGTATAAACTTTAAACTAACGGAGCTAAACGTGATCTGCCGAGTAAGACGGAGACAACATATGCGGGTGTAGCTTCCTCTTAAAACATGGTGCGTGACGTGCTTAACAATATCATATAATATTCTATCGATTCGCATCGTACATTGTTAATGTTTCGTGAACGTAGGAGGCTATTTGTCGAGCAGTTTGGCCATCGCGACGGACGCATCACATCTGCTCACGGACTTCGCCAGCTTCATGATATCGCTGTGCGCCATATGGGTGGCATCGAGGCCGGCCACGCAGTCGATGCCGTTCGGATGGTACAGGGCCGAAGTGTTGGGCGCCCTCACGTCTGTTCTCCTCATCTGGGTGGTCACCGGCGTGCTGTTGTACTTGGCCGTCGAGCGCCTCACAGACATGACCTACACGATCGACGCCGACATTATGCTCATCACGTCCGCCGTCGGACTGTGCGTCAACTTGGTGTGAGTACACAATATAATATTATATACATTACGTGCAATACGCGATGTTAATTATTATCGTCATCACCATCGTAAAATTTTATCAAATTCATCATCGATATTATCGTGCGACGTTCGCCTATACATCGATGATCGATGAAATCGTTGAAATATGAACGATCGTGACTGTGGCGGTTACGGAGCTTAGAAAAACCGTAACTCAACCACATACCTACCTTTAAGAYGTAGAACACCYGAGAAGTAATCAAAACGATATGCTAATTATATATATTTAGCCCCACAGCAGTCGATCGTTCTCGTACCGTTACTCTCCACGCATCAATATAACGATCAATAACGATGAAAATATATCGTATGCMAGAAAGTATTGAGCCCCTTAATTTTTTTTTAATGACGTTGCATACGAGATAAAAAGACAAAAATATCTCCAAATACACCCCACAATAACCACCTTAAAAAGAAAAACTTATCGATTCGGCCTTGTACTCGCCACGCATTTATTTAATCTC